TACCTGAAATAGTGTGGTGCTTTCTGGGCCCCTCCCATCCTGTAGCATCTTGATCGAGTTGCTGAGGGTTAAGAGCCCAAGTTGAGTGGATTCCTAGAAATAAAAAAAATAAAATAAAAAAAAAAAGCTGTTTTCAAGATAAAAGTTCACATTGTCCCCAGGCAGGTGGTTGTTTTGCTTGTGTAGGAGCTGCCTAAATGAGAGATGGAAGAAAGGTTTCCAGGGCTCTCCTTGGTTACCTCACCTGTGCTCAGCTGGGGAATGGTCCTCCCAGAACCCAACCCTGACCACCTGCAGTGGGTCCTGACTCTGCCCTGGTGTCTTACAGGGAAGGAAGCCCAGAAAGGGCCTCTGCTCTTTGAGGATCTCCCACCAGCCAGCAGTGCTGACTCAGGTATGGGTGCTCTGTTCCTGCTATTAGTTTGGGTTCCCATGTTTTCTGCATCAGCATCTCTTGAGATGAAACTTCTTTAAATCCTTTTCTTTGTTAGACAGGATAAAGATAGTCGGGTTATCACCACCAATGTGCAGAGCACCTGATTTCCTCATGGCAGGTTTTTTATTTTGGTAACCAGATTTTCCACATATGTTCCATAATATGTTCTGTATAAATATTCCCTGAAACAAATGTAAGGCCTGACTCTGCCCCCACCATCCAGTAACAGCTAAAATTTGACTCTCTTTGGTAAACTGGCATTTTATAACTTCCGCACCTCAGGAGGGGTAGTACACACAGAGCATTATTCCTTCAAAGGGACAAAGGTATTTCATTGTTCTTGCCTTTTTCTTGTGCTCCAGGAAAAGGAGGCTCTTTACTCTTTGATGATCTTCCGCCAGCCAGCAGCGGTGACACAGGTAAGGAGCTGTGTCAGCTCACCAAGCCTCTGCTGATCTGCCTTTCTCAGGAAAACCCATCGATGTAGCCCATTGTGTTGGATGCGTGGCCAGTTCACCTGGTGTCCAGGTTGGCTGACACTGGTGATGGTGATCTGTTTGTGCCCCGATTGTTTAAATGGGGATTCTGACTCTGTTGAAAAACTTAGGTCATCTCCCAGAAGTACATCCCTCAGATGTCTTTTGGGGACCCTCATCGTTTGTGCCTGAAAGCTCTCTCTTTGGGAGTGAGCGTACATGTGTGCTCGCTAAGAGCGATGGCAGCACTGGCCTGGCGGTGCCACTGCCCTGGCTTCTATTGCTTTTTTGCTGTGGGCAGAGGCTGCGCTCTTGTTTCTAGCTGTAAATGTCTTCAAAACCACACTGCTGGTCTGGCAGGGCTTTCTGCCTGCAGCCAACTGTTTGCTAGCACCTGGGAGAAGGTGAGATAATTCCCTATACCATATGAGAATAAATCTCTAGAAGGAAAAGATGTGGGTTCTGACATCATGCAAATCATATTTGGCTTACTAGCTTTAGTTTGTAACCTGTCTTCTGAAACCCCTAACGAATATGCACATTCAGAGTAATACGCTTATTTGCATTGTTGTGGACACTAATAATAATAATAAAAAACCCAGAAGTGTTCCAACCTAAAACATTACATTCCTGAGCAGTTAACTGCAAAAACAGTTGGTAGCTAAGAAACAAACTGTGGTTTGGTGGGGAGAATCAACAGCCTTCCAGCCAATCATAACTGTGCTGTGCCTGAGGTAGGGTCACACAGCGTAAAGTGCTCAAATCCGTGCTTGCTAGGTTAGACAGTGATGTGTGCTACAGGTTGTACCTGCTGAGTAAAGCTGTGTATGCCTGTTTGTGGTCAGTTAGTATGTCTCATTCAATACTAACTCTCGGTACTTAATACTGTGTGTGCAAGCCTGCGCTTCTGAGAGTTCTTCAGTGTAAAAGGACTTGCTGCTGAACTTATCCAAGTAAAACAGAGCTGGGAGACTTCAGCCACCTGCGTTTTTGCTTTCTTTCAGCCTCCGGTGCTACTGAGCAGGTCTCATCAGCAGGGAGCCACGGGAAAGGGGAGAAGAGAAAGTCCTTGGAGGAGGAAGAGAAGAATGGCAGGGAAGAACTTGTGGAAAAGAAAGTTTGTAAAGGTTTTCAGACAGTTTGAAAACAAATGTACTCAATTTGTACTTTTCATGTTGGGCTGAGTAAGTCCAGGCCAAAGCTAAGCTTTGGTTCTTCAGTCCGCTTGCATTTTCAGCCTTTCATAGGGAGCAAACTGCTGTGGCAGTCTGTGGAAGCCCCTCAAGCTCCGTGGCACACTCTGCCTCCTTCAGCCGAGCCTTTTTACCGGCCCTGCTGAAGTGGCAGAAGCTGAGCAGCAAGCACCTCAGCATTTGCAGGATAAGTTCCTGTGCTGCCAAGGGCCGGATTGGTTGTGAAACCTCTGGAAGGCTAAAACCACACCGGTTTCTTTTGCCACATCCAGGAATCTCTCCACATGGGTGACTGCTAAGAAAGCCAGGGAAAGGGAGAGACTTGCTGTTCCGTAGAGGGTGTTTGACCACATGTTATGTTGTGGCTCTGAGAGTAAGATGTGATTAGGGGTACAGAGGAAAGGATGTGTTCTGGAAAGAGCAGACCCTGATTTTCTGTCCTTAGCACCCTCTTTAAAGCTGTGCGTTGTTTGATCTGCAGGTTCAGTGCCACAGGTTTCCCCTGTCCCTTTTTGGTAAGAGCCCTATCTGAGCCCAGTTCCTGCTTGGCTATGGCTGCCTGACAAAATGGGGACAAGTGGCTTTTGTAGCTGCTGATCTTGGGGGCACTTAAAAACCCATGTTACAAAATAAATATATCCTCTTCAGCAGAAAGTGCCAGATGTGTTGTTGCAGGATGAGGGCAGTACTTTGCTGCAGTGCCAGGGCAGGGTTCTGAAAGCTGGAAAGTGGTCACTGATTTACTGGTTTTTAGCCTGAGCTGAGGAGATGGGGGAGTTTGATTTATGTGCATGTGTCTGCTTTGTTCCCCTTAGGGTCAGTGGGTATTCTTGGATTGAAGGGTTACGTGGCAGAGAGGAAAGGTGAAAGAGAAGACATGCAGGATGCACATGTCATCTTAAATGATATCACCGAGGAATGTCAGCCTCTGCCCTCCCAAATGTAAGTGGGCCCCAACTGCCAGAATGAAGCTGTGGGTGGCAACCATGCAGGGGTGAAAGAGCTCCGGCTTACTTCAGCTAAGCCCGTGATACGATCCTTTTTGCTTGGAGCAGCTGATGCTCTTAACTATCCTGCATTGTGCTGTGTGGTTTGGGCTTCTTATTGGGAGACCTGGGTTGAAGCATTAGCTGTGTTCCTGGGCACATCACAGGACTGGTTTGTATACAAATACCTCCCTTTGAGTGATGCTCAGTGGCTTCAGTCACCGACTTCACAGGGATTGTGAGGGCCTAATAACTCTGGATATTGAGCCTCTATTATCTTAATGTAGGTGTGGATGTTCAGAGACCCTCAGTTTAATTATAAGTAATCAGGGGATTTTACAGTGTGCAAAAGCCTAACTGTGGCAATGCAGAACGCTCAAAGAAGAGAAAACAAATGTCAGATCTCTCTCATTTGAAAAGTTTAAGTCTCTTAGCAAATTAACACATCTAAGTGTGTGTAGGGGGAGTGTGTATTTCAAGGAATGCTCTCGAGCATCATCTTGATGCTGGATTTAGCTTTTGAACTCATATTGTCCTGAGAGCTTCTTTTGCTGAGGGATCTGAGTTTCTTCTCTGTGGCGTGACTTCAACAAGTTTAAGCATGGAAAGAACCATAGGATTGGTTAGACTATGTCTGTGTCATGCTGGGGAGTTGGAGTGCCCTTGAGATGAAATGTCTAGCTGCTTTTGTGGTCTATAAACTCTCTTCTGCTCTTCATTTTCTTGAGGGGTGGAAAATTACAATAAAGTTCTCAGCTCAGTGCTTGCACACGCAAACCATGTAAATGCTTGAATGTGTGAGCTTAGCGACTCGCTGCTTTTGTGCCTTGGAGTGCAGTATTTATTCAGTCTGGCTGACACAGGGCAGGGTGTTACGGAGACAGTTCCACCCTCTGGCTAACGGCCTTTTTTAGCCCTTTTCTGCTACTCTTTGTTCCCTCACAGCACACGTGTCTCGTACTTCGCTGTTTTTGATGGCCACGGGGGAGTCCGAGCCTCAAAATTTGCAGCACAGAATCTGCACCAAAACCTGATTAAGAAATTTCCTAAAGGTGAGAGGAGTGGAATAAGGGTTGTAGGACAACCATCACCTTTTCTGCCTTGACATTATGGCAGTGGATAGGGAAACTGATTTGTTTGGGCACAGTTCTACAGGTACTGTCCCTCGCTCCCAGGGGGGTTGTGAGACCATGCGGTCTCCCAGGGAGGAGGGCTGGAAGCCTTTTTGGCACAAGGGTACAAGTAGCCAGTTGTGAACCTCTGAGCAAGTGCTGTTGCCAGTTTTGGCAGTGCCGCTTCAAGAGTGAATATACACCTGTGGGGGAGAGGGGTATGTCATAAATTTACCACGCATGCTACCACGCAGACTTTTGGTAGCGTGAGCCCAGGATGTGCCCTGGCTGCTCTGCACAGGATCTGAGTGATGCGTTGGATGAAGGGAGGGACTGGGATCAGCCAGGTATGTTTTAGCTGGAGCTTAGTTACTGTTTTCCCTGTCTGACAGGTGAGGTAGTCAGTGTGGAGAAAACTGTGAAGAGATGCCTTTTGGACACCTTCAAACACACAGATGAAGAGTTTCTAAAGCAGGCATCCAGCCAGTAAGTGTAAATGCTTCACATGCGTTTGTATTTCTTAGTTTGCATGTCACAGGCCTTAGTTCTGAGCAGAGGGCAGAGGAAACCCTGAGTCCTGTCTGTGCTTTGGCAAAACCCCATACGGCTGAGCTGTGCCAGGTTTGCCTTCTTTTTAAAGACTTATTGTGTTGCTGAAATGACTTGTCCCATACTGTCTGAGACGGGATCTCTGTTGACAGCATCAAAGTGTGTCAGGAGGTTATTTGCAGAGCAGCAGTTTGCAGGGTGCTGCATGCAGCTTTCTTGAGAGTGGCGTTCCTGTTAGTGAGTATTGGAAAGACTTAACTCTCCCAATGTAGGTTTACATCTTGCTTTCTTCACCTCTTTTGAAAACAGAGATGTTGATGAAGAATGTCTCTCATCTTAAGGTTGTTTCTAACAGATCCTTTTAAAACAAAGCTGAAGAGCACAGCAGCTACTTTCTGTGGGAGAAATGCCAGCCTGCCTCCCAGCTGGGTTTTGAGTGCAAGCACCCTTATCTTCTCTGTCTCTGCTGAACTTACACACCAACTGTGTGCAGTAGGGAGGATGTAGATTGCATCTAAAATACAGCCAATTTGTTACCAGTCCTTTACATGACTGTTTGGGTTTTTTTATTTCATAGTGACACCTCTAACACAGATGGAGAGACTGTTGAGGCATCTGATTCTGAGATTCCCTGCAAACTTTCAATTTTAAGTAAATTGTAAACTGACTCAGTCTCTTAAGCCTGATCAGACCAGCAAGTTTGACCAGGCAAAAGGAAAAGGCTTCCTTGAGTCTGTCACAACAGTGTCATTCCCAAACCAGCCTCTGTTTGGTCAGAAACGTGACTTAGGACAGAGGTGCTACAAAGGAATGCTGGTGATAGCTGTATTGATGATGAAATGAATGATCTTCATTCAGCTGCACCTTCAAAGTTAGGAGCAACTGGATGAAATATGCCTAGAAATTAGTCTCTCAAAGCTAGTTTCAGTAGAGAGTGGCATCCTAGCCAGGCTTCATTGTGGGGAGGACTAGCCTGGCAGCTGTAATCTAAGAAACGCTTCTCGTTTTACCCAGAGCTCTGGACATACAAGCTTAACTACAGCAACTGAAATATCAGGAGAGTGACTGAACAAGTGGTGTTGCTGCCAAAGTGGGGTGATGAGGAGTGAGGTGGGCAGGCAAAAAATAAAAACTGTGAAAAAAGGAAGGGAAATGAAAGCGAAAAGAAAGGCAACTCTGCTGCAGTCCCGGCTGTGTATTCCTTTTGCTGCAAAGCAGGAACCTCCTGAGGAGGAGTTTGGGGTGCTTGTTTGCTCAAGACGCAGTAGCTTCTGGGCCGTCATTGAGGCTGAGCCTGTTCCAGGCAGAGAAGAGCTTTCCTGGGAGCTGAGAGTGAGGAAGGGCTGGTGTGGGGAGCGTGGCTGGCAGTATTTGAACCAGTTGGGCACTGGCCATGCATTTAGAAGGTGGTACTCTGTGCAGCTCCTCTGTCCTTGTCCAGCTCGCTGTTTACCACCAACAGTTTCCCCAGCTGCTGGGGGCTTGTGCTAGCTCACTCTGCATGTTGGCACATGACGCTTCCTTGAGTCCCCAGGACCACTCTGTGACTTAACTTCTTGAACATGGTTTTTCCCTTTACTAATGTAATTTTTGTTCCCTTCAGGAAGCCAGCATGGAAGGATGGCTCCACAGCTACTTGTGTCCTAGCTGTTGACAATATTCTCTACATAGCCAACCTTGGGGACAGCCGGGTAAGCAGAATGGAGAAGCCCACAGCTGGCATCTCGATTCCTCTGAGATGAAGGGTGAGGTGTCTGTGTGGGATATCCCAGTTGCTGTGAGCTCCACAACTGCTTCTCCAAAACATTTGTTTTGGGTGGGTGCAGGGTACTTCTGTGTTGTGTCCCATTGTGTAAAACAACTTTGTGGGGTAGCTGTCTCTTGGTGGCACTAAATCTCTCACAGTATCTAGACTAGAACAGACTATTTCATTGGGAAGGGGCTTACAACCATCATCTGGTCCAACTGTCTGACCAATTCAGGGCTAGACCAAAAGTTAAAGCATATTATTAAGGGCATTGTCTAAACGCCTCTTAAACACGCACAGGGTTGAGCCATCAACCACCTCTCTAGGGAGCCTGTTCCAGTGTCTGACCACCCTCTCAGTAAAGAAATGCTTCACAGTGCCCTGCCTGAACCTCCCCTGGCGCAGCTTTGAACCATTCCTACGTCTCCTATCACTGGATCCCAGGGAGAATTGCTCAGCACCTCCCTCTCCACGTCCCCTCCTCAGGAAGCTGTAGAGAGCTGAGGTCACCCCTCAGCCTCCTTTTCTCCAAGCTAGACAAACCCAAAGTCCTCAGCTGCTCCTCAGGACATTCCTTCCAGCCCTTCACCAGCCTTGTTGCCCTCCTCTAGACACATCCAAGAACCTCCAAATCCTTGTTAAATGGGGGGCCCAGAGCTGCCCACAGCGCTCCAGGTGAGGCTGCACCAGCGCTGGATCCAGCGGGATGATCCCCTCTCTTGATGGGCTGGTTGTGTGGTGTTTGATG